GAAGTTGGTGTGGAAGGAAAAGGTAAAAAAAAAAAAAAAAGGTAGGGTGGCATTTGGCTTTTTACAAAAAAAAAAAAACAAAATTAATATTTTGTATAGATTTTAGTAAGGTCATTAAAATTATAATTAAATCAATAATTTATTATATTATCTTCTCAAATTTTTAAATTTAATATCTAACAAGTTAAAGTTTAAATATAAACAAAATCATATAGTTTATAATAATTAAAAGTTGACAATAGAACAATTATATATATATTTTTAATTAATATCTTCTAAAAATTAAATATTTTCTTTGTTCTTCTTGATTATATCTTTTTTTACTAATCCAAAGCTCTTTGTTTTTTAAATATTTTATTTTTCTAATAAATAATAATAATAATTTTTTTTTGTTTAAGATTTTTAGAAATATATCTATTACAATAGGTAATATCTTACTATTAATTATGGAACATACAGTATATATTATTTACTATATTAATAAAGATTATAAGATATGTCTCACGAACAAAAAAAAATAAAAAAAAATAAATTCAAACAAAAATCTATTTTTAGATTAATAACGAGTATAAAAAATTATATTTTAAAAAATAATTACGTAATTAAAAAGATAAATACGGTAATTAAAAAAAAAATTTCTACTTAATTTCGAATGTTTATAACGATAACAACTATCATATTATTAGTGTAGTATACTTACAAAATTAAAAAACAGTTATCAGTTATGTAAATGAAAGATTATTTAATGTCTACGTTTAATTTATTAAATTCGCGGGTTAACGAACATCCAATATTTGATCTTTTATATAGTTCTATGTCGTAGGGTCACCACAATTGCACCCTTTAATGCGCATGCATGCATTTTTTTTAAATGCTTGGTCCTCGGATTTATAGAAACTTACACCTCTTAAAATGCCACGATCCCAACGCCAATACAATTCGTCATTGGTAAAAAAAATATTTAACACGAATTTTTTGTATTCGAGCATATATATATCGTATTTTTCTTACAGTTTTCGATGTTCTTTATACTTGCTTTAAAAAGCCAAATGTTTTATTTTGAAAGAAACAAGTTCAATGATCGAAACAGATTTTATAATATGCAAAAAAAAAAAAACATAACGAAAAAGATAAAAAAAGTTTAGTTGCAAGTATGAAACCCTTGGAAAAAAAAAGTTTTTTCCACGTTCACAAAAAAAAAAGACAACGATTGGAATTCATTGGATACAGTAACATTGAGTTTGGTCGCTAAAGTGTAATTATTTACATATCTCCAACTAAAATGTTAGGTTCAACAAGGTCACACTACTTGTCATGCATTAGTCTGTTACATAAATTGTTTCAACAATAATGTTCGAATTGTATATATAACGAAACCTCTTTCCTTGTCTACAGAATAGACTAAAAATAGACAATTTATTGCTAGCATACTAATTTAACGAACTTATACTGAGCACCTTCCTCTCTTACAATAAGGATACAAAAAATAAGTAAACCAATGTCCGAAGTCATAGATTACAGAGTTTCTCGTATCGTAGTTCATTGCAAGGATTGTGGCCTCGATGTTGGTCTCTATCCTGCGCGTCACAAATGCGGAGTCGTCGCCGCAGATTCTTTGGAACCCCTTCCTCCTGTAAAAAATTCAAGCATGCAAAATAATAATATTGCAAGTAATGAAGGCATTTCAGGCGAAGGGTTATGGGGTAAACTTAGATCTGTACGCAACTGGAAGGACATTAATGGTGATGGTAAGCAGGTTATTTTTTTTTTTAATTAACAATTTAACTTGCCTAAATACTTACCGAAAGTAATTGTAGGAACTACCACTTTAAGCGCCGCTCAACCTACCCAAGGCTATAAGTTATGGGATAAGCTACTAAGTGCAGCCGCGGCATATAAAGTAGTGGAAGGTGATTCAGAGAACGGTACGCTTATCCCGGTTGTTATCTTTATCGAAAACATTTGACTTGGAAGAATTATTTAAATTGATGTTTTGTGTGTTCTAGAATCCGAGAAAGAAGATTGGGAGGGAGAGACCCATATTTCTCGTATCTTGAGGGAGTATTATATGAAAAAATCTGGTGATATCCCCAATTGGCTATATGATTCTAAACCAAGTTCCTCAGAAAAGTCTACAAACGTCACTTCCCTTAGAAACATTAGTAAACGATTAATCGAAAGGAACAAAAATTTGTCACAGACATCAAACACTGGTGACATTCTCGATAGTGGGTTTTCAAAAAATGGTAGCAGTAATAGAAGTGAACAAATAAAGGTTCACGTATCACCCCCGAGTTCACCATCGCCAATCCCTATTATTAACAAGGGTCGAGAAAACAGCGGATACGATCGTTCCCGAAATATGAATTATACACAAGGTAGCCAATCCTCTAAAAATTATGATTCGGACAAATACAATCTCCGAATTAACAGTAACAGTTTGGGCAGCACTCGAACATTCCATGCGCATACACCTTCCGATGATAATGGAAGAATGTCGCAACAACGATCGAGAGGTACCGAGAGACAGGATAACTTTAGAACGGGTCGTAGTAGGGAATTAGAATTGATTACAAATACTGCAAATAATGTTAATAGAGCAAGAAGTGTGAGTCCTAGTCCGTCAACTCGCGTTCCACCATCGGGAATCTATAGTAGATTCCGAGAGACCAATGACATTCGTGGTAGGAATCAAGACGTACGAGTTCCTACCGGAAGAAATTATGGTGCCTTTTAAATGAGGCGGATATTTAATGTAATTTCCAACCATAATAATTCAAGTAATAATTATAGTATTTTTTTTTTTTTATTACTACAATTTTTCAAAAACAATTCTTATGCATGCAATCTATCTTTCATTCCTTTCATATCAATTCTTCTTTTAGAAATTTTTTATAGACAAAGTAGATAGCATCACTCACTTATTGTTTCCCATCATTGTAAATTATTATTCGAACATAAAAGAATAATTTGTTTGCTTTTATTATTCCCATTTCCAATGAACTCAACACATTCTTTTGAGCTCAAAAACAATACAGCTGTTCGGTTCTTTGGAATTATTAAGCACAGAATCTATTCTTTGTAAAAGTCATTAATTAATCAATTAATAAATTAATTCAATGTAACATCAATAATAATTACATAGAATGAGACCATCAAATTATGTTTCCCGTGCATATATGATTCTAGAATTAGGGCAATTGTCTAGCCGAGAACTGCATCTTCATATTCTTCGGGTGCGTCATCTCTCATCAGCATATTAACTATTTGGTCAATCACATTTGATATTCTATCGTCTTTTTCGGCGAGGTGCATTTGACGAACAACGGGATAAACTTTTCTCTCGCGCAATATCTCACGCCCTTTCCGAGTGGTAGTCAAGAGTACAAGGGTTTCTAAGAGTATCTGCCTTAAATGCACATCAGGCTCGCGCTTCTATGAATTTGTCCATAATATTATCATGTATGTTCATTTCACTAAAAATGCCATGTCATTGCACAAATGTTTCTAATACCTTGTCAGAAGGTAAGAGTTGAATGTCCTCAGGCATTCCTTCCATGTCCTAAGATAAATCCAAGAGATCATCCTCAACGTCAGTTGCAATATGCTAAGTCAACAGCGGTTGCAAACTCACATCTAAATCAAATTCCTCAGGACCACAAAGGGGTAATAGGATGTATGGAAGTAAATTTATTTTAGATTCAGATAATAAATCGAGATGATGGTTTGTCGAGAAACAGCAATTTCTAATTGGGTGATAAATAAAAAGAATTAGTAATTATATAAATATTCATGATCGAAATATAACGGGGATTACTTGATACATGAATCGACGCCACCTCTTCGGATAATATTGGGATATTCGGTGAATATAATCAACTTTGATAAAGGTGTTATGTTATCGTGTGAGGAATTGCTAAGAAAATATTCCTGACCTTGCGGCAACTAAAGCGTTCGATCCTAATTATTATTTACTTGCACAACGCATTGTTAATTTAAAACTTCATACCATAGTCACATTTGCAAATACGCTAGCCAAGAAATGAAATTCGGCCTCTTTATTATAAGATCTATCCAAGCCCTTGACAAATATGTCGACTAAATGGTCCATGAATCTTTTTGAGTTTGATAATCCCTCAACCGGTTGACACTCTATTGACAAAATTTTTGCCGAAATTCGTTCATTTTTTGTTATATTCGATATGAGCATACAGGCCATGTCTGCAAGAATCGAATTACGATCCTTGAATTTAAAGTACTAATCCGTTACTCTTTCATTGCTATTGATCTAAATCATACAACGATACGTGCACATACCGTGATTATTCTTATTAGGAGTCGCAGAAAATTTTCATCATCTAGTTCTTCACGTATCTCTTCTTCGCTGGTTAAATTCACTAAAGCCTTGAATGCTTCATGCGCAATTACCTTTAAAGGAAGTTGAAAATCCAAAATGAAATGCTCTAATAATTATTTATATAATAACAAATAAGAAGTAACACCTACCGGTTGGTCCGCACAGAGAAGTTTCAAATCCTTAATGGGTCTCTTGTCGTTCTGCTTGAAAATATGCTGAAATGTTGAAGACTTGACTGTATAACCTAATAGGTGATTTAGAGCCAAATGGCGAACCTGCAAAAAGGAATGCGAAATTAATAAAATTTACGCGGCAAGATAGTGAGACTACCACTTACACTGGGGTTGTTATCATGTAAAAAATCCAATAGCTAAGTAATAGGAAAAATTTTTAAAAAAAAATTTCATACAAAATCATATTACAAATACTAATAAATTTCGACTACCGAATTCAGTTGTTCCTCCATTGTTAAAAATGAAGTTTTTTTTTAACGCAAACGATTTCCTATTTCTAAACTCTATTTCACGTGAAAGTAAACTCACCATAATAAATATTTATTTGAAAGTATATTATTAAAGATACACAATGAAATTGGATATAACCAAGTGACCATTTCATATTTTAGAAAAAAATTTAAAAATCATTATATGTATTATTATTTAATTAGAATCATTGGAATTTTTAAGACTTTAATATGGTTTTTATTAATACAGATAATAAAATATAAATAATATTGTTTTTTGGGAAATATTTTTCCAATAGGTAAACATTATTTCTTTATTTGATATTATATTATATATATAACAAGGTATACATTGCGAAAGAAATAACATCTCTTTCATTATTTCAGGAAAGTTAAATGCTAGCTTGCCTACTTATTAATATTTAACTAATATCATAAAAAAATTCAAAATCAATATTAATGTGCTAGATAAGGCTGAGTAGTGGCTATGTCTACTATATATGTTTCCTTATTACCATAAAAAAAAATTTGATCAACAATACGATTCTGAATTAAATACAATTCCTAATTACTTACTAATTGTTACTTTGTAATATGAACATAATATGGTTTTTGAAAAATGTCTGAATTAAATATGAACACATGTATAATGTCTATCATCCCAGGAAATTTTGTGAATTCTTTTGATTTTTTAGATATAAAAAATTGAAGACCCACTAACTCTGCTTGAGTATGTGTTTTGGAAAGTATTTGGTTTAGCAAGTATGATGGTAATGATGTGGATGATTTTTGTGATAGAATAAAGGTAAGGAGGAATGCAAGAGAACTGAAGAAAAGAGAATTGCCACAGGCCTTTCCTCATGCAACTGAAGGATAAGCAAGACTTCCAAACTTGAATAGACTTCGACCAGAGGTCCCATCCTACTGCACTAGTTGTCTTGAGAATTCTTGAGTTCCTGAGCTGAGGCGCACTTGTAATAAAGAGAGTAAAATATTTTTTCTTGCTTAAAATTATCATAAAAGAAAATTTTTTAATAAAACGAATGTGATCAGGAGAGAGTTTTAAAATAATATTAATTTAATATTGACTTATAATAAATTTAATATATAAGTTGTAACTTATTATATTAAATTCATAGTAAATCCAATACTATTAAGAATTCTATATATATTTTATTAAAAGTAATTATTTTTTAACAATATAAAAATAATAATGAAGCCATAGTTATGATTCCAAACATTAAAATTGAATAGAATTACAAAAAATTGTATAAGATTTGAAACATTATTAAAAATAATGATATGATATACCCCACCTATTAAATTTAATATAAACTTGAAAATCGAATACAGAATTGAAGAAAATCGTTAGAATTTTTAGCTATAGTAATTTAAATATAATTCTATTACTATATTATAATCAGTGTTGGCAAAATTATGCTTTATTGATAATTATCCTATTCTTTTTATTATATTATTTATTACATCCCATAATAAATAGTATAATAAAAATAATATAACAATTATTAATAAAGCATAATTTTGTCAACTCTGATTATAATGTAATAGTAATAATATAAAAACAAAGCAGTTACAATTGCAAAAACTATTCTGTAATAATAGAGTAATATAATAATAGAGTAAAAGTTATTTGAATAGTAATAAAGCAGTTATAATATATATAATAGTGTGATAGAATAGATAACTTAGTTTTATTTTTACTTATTTTTATCAAATTATTATTAGTTTATTTTTAGCAGTA